AATGTATACATATACATTGCAAAACCAGTAACTGTTCTTCATTAGCATGTAACTTATATTCTAACTTATTCTATAGTTTGTTCTTCCTTCCTTAGATTGAATGTTCAAAAGGTGAGACTGTGTGGTCAGACCTCCACAGTTGGCAAATACAGCTGCCCTGCATGCATGCACATTTGCCTATTTTTGTTTTTCTTTTGTTGGTTTCATACCTGTTAGCTAATGAATATGTTAGTTGAACATTCCCCTATATAAATGCTGTGGGTAAATCACTGGATCGGATCCATAAGCTATGGCTTATTAATTTTCACCACTCTTAATGAACATTTATGGAGTGTACTGTATGCTTTATGCTTTAACTCATTCCTCAGCAACATTGAAATACATAAATAATAAATAAATAAATGCTTGACATGTCCCTTTAACCACAGCAGTATTGCTGCTCAATTTAAATTAAGCCACAAATTGGCATCATAACAATAATCTGCGAATACACACGCACTGCAAAGACACAATGTCAATAGCATAATTTATTTAATATATTTACAGTTGTCATCAGATACAAATTTCATTGAAACGAATGTAACAAAATAATGTGGGCGTGGTCTATGGAGCCAGATCAGACTCATTAATAATTCACGCAAAAAATACGATTCACACATGCGTAGACAATTTCACATGCGTGAAACCTAATTCACGTACACACACAAAAAAATTCACGTGCGTGAAAAAAAAATATATTCACAAAAAGCAATTCACATGCGCAAAATAAAATTATATATTCATAAAATAAATTTCACAAATGCAAAACACAATTCGTAGATATACAACTGTGCACAAAAACCTTTGAATCTTTAAAATGTACGAGTGTGTCCTTGAATTTGAATGTGCAAATCGTCATTCACATACGAATCGCCTTGGATGTGTGTGTGTGTATTTTTGAGACTTTCCTGGCAGCGCTTACTCGTAAAACAGAGCAGTCGTACTCTTCAGCCAATCAGATTTAAGCTCATCAATCGACCAATCAGTATCACGTGAGGGCGGGCCTATCTGTATGTTACGTCATCAGCTTTCGACCAGTTCATGGCTGAGCAGAGGTAAGTGCAGTTACTCGTTCATTTCTGTGTTAACTGAAGTTAAAGAAGCTTGAGATCAGTTGATGCAATAGTTTATTAACTGCTGTTCAGTCCACATGTGAACATAAACATTATTTTTAGTATTGATGGATTTTCATGTCCTGTCCACCACACATTCAACTGATGATAATGTATGTAATGACGTGCATATATAGGAGACATGTTTTGTTTTAAGCATCATATATTATGTAGTTTTATTGTTTCAGATTTCCGAGACAGATGATGTATGAAGTTGCAGACAACCAGAACTGTGATCTTACCATTCCTACTGTAAATCTTTGAAAACAGTCATGTTGCAAGCCAACCATTTTGACAGTTGTTTCAACAAGAGGTTGAAAGTGATGCATTGTTACTGTATTCATTTGTCTCCTGCGGACTATATGTACACGCTCTAGGAATACAGCCTTGCTATGCATGCATTATTAAATGTTCTTGTCAGAATGAAAAGATTCAAAGACATAGTTCAATTTGATGTACACGTTTTATTAATTTTAACGTTTCCGAAATTCTTTGGGAATAAAATATATATAAAATGACTTCATCATGATTAATGTTCCTGTTACATATGAAGATCATGAACATTCAGTACAGAGAAATATACATCTCTTCCAGAGTTGTGAGATCCAGTCAGAGTCTACTTTGCTTTTAAAGTATATAAATATAAGTGCAATACATCAAGTGAAAAGTGAACAAATGAATTGTGTTTAATCCAGTCATCAGTAGACCTCTCTGTTAGGACATATCAGATTTTGTCCTGATATTTAAAATAGTAACAACCTATAGTACGAGAGGTGCAGACAGAGGACGTGGGAAATTAAGTGATGGTATTTGAATAGAGTTTACTGAGTAATCTTAGTCGCATAATCTTAATTGCCTCTCTATGATAAGTACCTTTGTCTTATCAGCACAAAATCAGATTTGCCTATTTTACTAAGCAAAGTAAAATTAAAGCTTCACAATATTGTCCTGTGAGACCTTAAGATGACAATAAAAAACCTTATTTAAAAACCAAGATGACAATACAGCACAAAACATAAGGAAATGCATGTTGAATATTGGTAACACTACAATATGGTACAATAACATTACTTAATGTATATTAACTAACCATGAGCAATACATTTGTTGCGGTGTTTGATAATCTTTGTTAACATTAGTTAAAAATATAGCTTTTTATTGTTACTTTACAGTGCATTAACTAATGTTAACAAGATTTTAATTAAGTATTAGTAAATGCTGAAATTAACATTAACAAAAAATAATTAAAGGCTGTTTACGTGCAGTTCATTATTAGTTCATGTTAACTAATGAAACGTTATAGTAAAGTGTTACCAATTAAGACATAAAAACAAAAGTATAAAAGAGAATAAAGAAACAACATGGATTAAGATGTTTGTGACTGCTATCCAGATGTCACACCAAAGGTGAGTAATCCTGAAAAATGCAGGGAAACAAGTGTTAATAATAATTTAACAACATACACAAATAGCAAATAAACACTGGGTGCTCATTAAAAAGGTCTATTCACCATTATAAGAACAATCTGGATGAGGCCAGTGCTGAGAGAGCTAGGGTGGGTATTGACCACAGATGATTGTTTTGCAATCATTAGCGTGATGATTGTAGCTGAGAGCTGTCTAAAATACAACAAAACAAGCATCATCCTTCTTCATTTTTGACACGATATGGGACATCTGATTACAACAACACTTGCTTACATCAGTTAATAGTTCATAAACTATTGCTTCAACTGATCTCTAACTTCAGTTAACACCGAAATGAACGATTAACTGCACTTACCTCTGCTCAGCCATGAACTGGTCGAAAGCTGATGACGTAACATACAGATAGGCCCGCCCTCACGTGATACTGATTGGTCGATTGATGAGCTTAAATCTGATTGGCTGAAGAGTACGACTGCTCTGTTTTACGAGTAAGCGCTGCCAGGAAAGTCTCAAAAATACACACACACACATCCAAGGCGATTCGTACGTGAATGACGATTTGCACATTCAAATTCAAGGACACACTCGTACATTTTAAAGATTCAAAGGTTTTTGTGCACAGTTGTATATCTACGAATTGTGTTTTGCATTTGTGAAATGTATTTTATGAATATATAATTTTATTTTGTGCATGTGAATTGCTTTTTGTGAATATGTTTTTTTTTCACGCACGTGATTTTTTTTGTGTGTGTACGTGAATTAGGTTTCACGCATGTGAAATTGTCTACGCATGTGTGAATCGTATTTTTTGCGTGAATTATTAATGAGTCTGATCTGGCTCCATAGTGGTCTGTGTGTCGCGAAATTAAAGCACATTAAAACTTCCCTTAAAGGCGTCTGAAACACACAGCGGAGCAGCGCAGAGTAAACAACAGAGTCCTAATATGATACAAACATTTAACAATAACGTGGAAAGCTTTTAAATCTGCTAAGTGAAAAATTAGCTGTGACGAATCTGTCACCGTTTAACATCTGCTGGAAATCCAGGTAAAACTGTCTGCGTGCACGCGCACTTCCCCAGTTAACATGATCCCCAGTTGATCCGTAACCATACCTGTCAACACTCCCGTTTTTCCCGGGTTTCTCCCGTTTTTTAGCCCTATCTCCCGGACCCCTCCCGGTTTGTTATTTCTCCCGGGAAACTCCCGTAATTTGCATGGCCCAAACTCCTTTATAAATAATCGGACCAATATGTTTGTCTAATGTTGACCAGTTGCCAGATTGTATTAAATGCATTATATTCACACAATCCACAGACCATTTACAATTTCAACCCGTTTGTCACCTCAACCTGGCAACCTATAACACAGTTGCGCAGTCGCGGAAAGTTTAACCCGAAAGCGAGCCGATAGACATGATGGCAGGTGAAGGTGGTGTCCCCGCAATGAAACTGAAGTACAGTTTGTAACGCGTTGCTTCAGGAAGATTAGGGATAGCTCACAACTGAAGTTATTGCATGCAGAGGCCAGACAGACACACGGAGGCGATTGGCATCTCACAACTCGCACTTTATTCCCAAATCGAACTCGTGTAGCCTAACTGTCAGTCACACGTTCTACCGTCCACATCGTTACTTAATAAACAAAATAAGATAAAAATTAGCATCAAACAAAAATTACCCGCATACATGGGGTGTTCGCATAGACAGTAAAAGAGGTGTTCGAGGCCCATGGCACATACAATACTGCCGACAGTTCAACAGTGAGCGCACAGCTCTTAAAGGGGCCACACCTTATTTCCAGTCGTTACAAGTTGTACAGGTATGTCCGTAACACCTGTTTCCGCATGACCCGCGTCAGTTTAGGTAGCGCACTGCCGCCTAGCGGAGAACTTCGAAACAGCAGCGCATCAAATACCGAATTGAACAAAATTATCATATTGTACCGTTTGGTTTGAAATATATTATATACCGGTATTTTTGCAGTACCGGTATACCGCGCATCCCTATGTATGTGTGAGTGTTTATAGGTGTATATGCATGTAAGTTTATATGTATATGCGAGTATTTATAGGTGTAGGCCTATGCGTGCGTCAGGTTTAAGTTATTCACAAGTTTATATGCATTCATTACTAACATAATATGTATTGGTATGGATTTCATATTAGTGTGCACGTGTAGCCTATTTCATATAGGTATTTTGAACATCCAATAGTATGTATGTATATGCGAGTAATTTATAGGTGTATATATGCACGTGTGTTGTAAGTGAAGTTTGATTTAAATCCTACGTGGCGCCTCATATACGCACGCACATCTCTGAAGGTATGTGCGACGATCCCATCAAAATCTACCGGAGATCATTCAAAGATGAAGGTTTAATCTTACACAACAAGCCGTTTCATAATACTGAGTGTCTCCTACCTTTCTTTTCCGGCGTCGCACAGAAGCTCCCTGAGAGCAGTAAGGTAAAAATCAATCCGAGCTCAGTTGTTCCTGCCATTTCTTATGTTTCAAACCTCTCAGACTTCACTCCATAGTTTGAAGAGCTCTTCTTTCAGGGGGTTTCTAAATGTACAGAGATCTTGCCTTCTCGTTTTCTTGAGAAAACTAGCTCGACTTGGCTTGTAAACTTTGACAGCTCCTCCTCCGCGCACGCGAGCCTCGGCAGTGATAGAGTCGCGCGCTGCTGGACAGAGCCGCGCTCGCGCTCGTGACGTCAGCGGCGGGGAGGATCGTGCGCGTGCAGTTCAGACGGTGTGCTTCAGGTAGAGAGGCTACAGTAGCCTACTTATTTGATCTGAGAGTTTGTGACATTAATTTACACTACCCCTAATTTACTCAACCTCAAGCCATCCTAATATGTCAAGTCAAGTCAAGTCACATTTATTTATATAGCGCTTTTCACAATACAGATTGCATCAAAGCAGCTTCACAGTGATAACATGAAAGTAGTACAACACAGTTCAATAATATTGTTGAATATTAAATATCCCCAACTAAGCAAGCCAAAAGCAAGGCGACAGTGGCAAGGAACCAAAACTCCATCAGATTGGATGGAGAAAAAAACCTTGGGAGAACCCAGGCTAGTCAGGGGCCAGTTCTCCTCTGGCTAACAATCATAGGGTTTTAAAGAAGCTTTACAGTAAGTGCATATCAGAGAGTACCTGGAAAAAATACATTTAGTTAATCATGTAATATTTAGGGGATAACATATCGCCGGCGTTGAGTCGTCTCTTCGCAGGCGTTGAGTCGTCTCTTCACAGGCGTTGGTCTTCTCATCACAGGCGTTGAGGCATCCGAAATCCCCGTGAGAGGCAGGATACCAAACTGGAGCCTACGAAAAATGGCGTTCGTAGGCTCCAGTTTGGTATCCTGCCTCTCACGGGGATTTCGCTGGTGGGAATTTTCTTGACTCAAAGTTGACCTGAGGGCAGAAACGTTTGTGATTGGTTTAATCTGACGGAGCCTACGAACGCCATTTTTCTCGGGACAAGCGTCCCGAGATAACAGCAGAAGGCAGATGGGAAATAATTAGCATAGCTGATGTTCATAATGATTTCCATTACACGGGAGTAGGTGTTAGAAAACCATAATCTCACAACTCTCCGCAACCCAAACTCGCTGGTGGGAATTTTCTTGACTCAAAGTTGACCTGAGGGCAGAAACGTTTGTGATTGGTTTAATCTGACAACCAATCGCAAGAGAGGAGAGAATTGCAGAGGCGGGGCCAGCGCGGGGCCACCATTTCCAATCTCAACCGTCAAAATCACAACGCTGTGCAGGCAAGAGGAATCTCATCATTTCAAAGTAAGTTTTTTTAAAAACAAAAACCTAATATTCTCGAAAATGGAACATTATATATGCACCTATGTGTGATTTTTTTCCCCCTAAAATGTTGCAATGGCTGTTGAAAGCAGTTCTTATGACAAAAATTTAGAAGAACAAGATAACTCAGAAAAACGTCATCTTTTCAGTGTGTGCACATACATGTAAACCTTAAGCGTTAGCTAAGCTAGCTAGTCAAGCTAATCAGGTGAGCTAGAAAACTTGTTTAAGTACATTGCAATTAAAGCTTTACTGTACTCATATTGAAATAATAAATGACTATTTAGGGTGTTGTAGTCTAATTTATAGATTTGGCTTTCCTTCATGACTGTTTAGTCTCATCTGGTCCCAGGGCAGAGACTGTTTCCCGCAATTTTGTCCCAGGGCAGGTGAATTCCTCCTGGTCTCAGAGCAGTAGTTGTATTGTAGGATTTTCCTCATGACTGTTAAGTCTCATCTGGTCCCAGGGCAAAGATGGAATTTTCCTATGGAATGCCAAAGCTGACTTTATTATAAATAAATAAATACATAAATTAATATACGAATACATGTAAAAAAAAAGCCTAAATACATAAATAAATATACAAAGAAATGTAAAAAAGTGCAAATAAATTAGTATTTATACTTTTATTTCCGTATAATATTCCTTATTCCTATGTATAATTGCATTTTTCACACATTTATTTATTTATTTATAAAAGGTGTCACTGTGGCCTCAAAACTTCAGCACGGCTACTCTGAGCTCGATTGCTGATGTCTGAGGTAAAACACGCCCCCCCCATTAGCATAGGGACAAATAAATGTATAAATAAACAAATGTAGAAATAAATTAATGTATAAATAAATAAGAGTATGACAAAATACAATTATACATAAATAAGGAAATAAAAGTATAAATCTATATAAAAAAAATACATTTCTTTATTTATGTATTTTTGCTTTTTTACATTTCTTCATATATTTATTATGTATTGATTTATTTATAATAAAATCAGCTTTGGCATTCCATATGGTTTCCCACAATTTTGTCCCAGGGCAGAGAGTATCTTTCTTACAATTTTGTCCCAGGGCAGGTGAATCCTTCCTGGTCTCAGGGCAGAAGTTGTTTTGTAGGATTTTCTTCATGACTGTTTAGTCTCATCTGGTCCCAGGGCAGAGACCATTATTTTCCACATTTTTGTCCCAGGGCAGGTGAATCCCTCCTGGTCTCAGGGCAGAAGTCCGTCTAATTTATAAATTTGGCTTTTCTTCATGACTGTTTAGTCTCATCTGGTCCCAGGGCAGAGACTGGTTCCCACAATTTTGTCCCAGGGCAGGTGAATCCCTCCTGGTCTCAGGGCAGAAGTCATATTTTTTCTCTTCTCAGGGCAACGTAGTTGGACAAAAGGGAGTCAGCTGTCTTCTCTGGTCTCAGGGCAGAAGTTGTATGAGGGCAGGTGAATCCCTCCTGGTCTCAGGGCAGACAGATATTTCTAGATTTTGGCTTTTCTTTATGACTGTTTAGTCTCATCTGGTCCCAGGGCAGAGACTGGTTCCCACAATTTTGTCCCAGGGCAGGTGAATCCCTCCTGGTCTCAGGGCAGAAGTCATATTTTTCTCTTCTCAGGGCAACGTAGTTGGACAAAAGGGAGTCAGTTGTCTTCTCTGGTCTCAGGTGAGAAGTTGTTTGAGGGCAGGTGAATCCCTCCTGGTCTCAGGCCAGAGGTCCGTCTAAATTATAAATTTGGCTTTCCTTCATGACTGTTTAGTCTCATCTCTTCCCAGGGCAGAGACTGTTTCCCGCAATTTTGTCCCAGGGCAGGTGAATCCCTCCTGGTCTCAGGGCAGAAGTCGTATTTTTCTCTTCTCAGGGCAACGTAGTTGGATAAGGGAGTCAGCTTGGCTTCTCTGGTCTCAGGGCAGACATTGTCTGCTTATGTATCTCTTATAAGTTATCATATCACGTCAAACCGTGCAAATTATACTTTGTTCTCAAATTGTTAATGTTAACAGCGTCAGCATTCCGTGACTACATGTAATGTCCTTTCGATATGTATCCTTCCTTGTTTTCGCGTGTCTGGGTGCTGTTTCCTCTTTTTTTTTTTTTTTTTTTTTTTTGACACTCCGAAGTCCGAACGAAGTCTTTTGCATTTTACAGTGGGCGAATCTGTTGTCACTGGTGATTGTCGTTTGAACCTTTCTGGCTCTGCCATTAAATTGATAAGTTTAATTTTATCAAGTACTGTGAGAAAAGGCTTTAAATCTCCGCCTCCAACATCCTGACACACAATATAGCCGAGAGTCTTCTTTATGTGTATCTTCTTCCAAATGTGTGTGTACAGATGTGTGTGTGTAGATGTGGGTGAGCAGATGTGTGTGTACAGATGAGACGTAATGGCGCAAAGACATGCTCGAATCTCCCGTGGAAATCCACCATTAATTAAACCATTAATCCAGAATCAAAAACATTATTACAAGCTTACCACTTTGAATCGAGCTACGGCAAGCAGATAGTTTTGACCACTGGCTGGTTATGTATTTTCTCAAATATCTATTTTGGATCATTTTTAACTCCAAAAAAGCTACCGACTGCAGCTTTAAGTTTCGCCTCAGGTATGTAAGTATCATAGTCATAGGTTCTCATAAGTATCCAATTTAATGCTTCAGGAGAAATACATGTTTTTAATTTTTGTCTTTTGTCTTTGCCTTTAAAGGGAAACTTAACCAAGCCAAATGAATGGTAAGTTATTCAATACTATTTTTTTCCTAATATATGTTAGTCATTTGCGTCATCTGCATAAATAATGATATAATTTGCATATTTACATCCGACCAGGTAGAGCACATTCCGGTACTTTTTTTAAATGGTGTTTTTAGGACGATTATGCACATGGGCAACACAAGGTCTGGGCACTTGCAAGATTGTTTTTATGTAATAGGGCCACAATGAGGCTGTAGCCTACCATTAGTGAAATAATGAGAAGTGCTGGCGCTACTGTAACATAAAACACCATTGGTATGGCATTCAACACAATTTGGCTATTTAGAAATTGTATAATATTTGGCCCCAACTTGCCTCAACATAGTGCATGTGTCTAAAACTTTTGCACATATGCTATAGCTGCCTCTTTCAGCCTAGTGTGACATAACTAACTCACAGACAAGCACTTGAAACAGAGCGCTGTTAGACTGTGTATTTTGATGGTTATCACCAAAACAACGTGTGAAACCAACACATTCAGAAGTCGGCAAAAAAGTCGCTAGTCGATAAATGTGAATTTTAGTCACCAGAGATCATAAAAATCAGGAAAAAAAAAAACTAATTTGCTGAATTGCCAACACTACTTTAAAGTAGGTTTGTATATGCTACATGTAGCCTAATAGTTGATTGGTTTACATTTGTGCCTGTTAGCCTAAGTAAGGTTACCTATTTTGGGACTTTTATTTTCTTCACAAATGCAGACTTAGAAACACTGAAGTCCCAAGGACTTCATGGTGACGATGTCATTGGGACAGTTGGGCCCTTCAAAATCTTTCTGAGCAGTTTGGAGGCCCTTTTAGGCCAATTTAAACTTCCAGATGAGGTAATTCTCTATTTCTTTCAAAAAAAAAAAAAATTATCCTCTTTCCCTTCACCTTGACTCTATTGTGATTGATTGCAGTTTATATATATATATATATATATATATATATATATAATTTATTTTTTTAACGTATTACTTCACCAGGTAATGGATGCCTTATTTTACATCATGAGCAGGGTAAGTCATACCTTTTAATAAAACTCACTCACT